GCTGAGCATATGCGTTGCCTCTCCAACATGGTCCTCCCCCTGGAGGCATTGGGAGTAGGCAGCACCCTTCTTTCCATCCAAGGGACAAGTGGTGCATGCTCCCTTGGTTCGGATAACTCCAGGAGAACCTGTTAGATTTTCAATTTGGTAGATTCTAGAGTCTCTAGATAGTTGATTTCCCGTTGTAGAATCTTTTGAGGTACAGACTTCTTGCAGAAAGTTATGCTCCAAGTGATACACACTGACCCCTTTCAGTGTATCCAGCTGCTCGTGGCTCTTTTTGGTGTCTTGGGAATGCATGTTTGTTAAAGAAGAGGACACTATGGACTCGACTGTCACTCAATGGCAGAATGTAATGTGAGGTACAAGAGTGGTTACTATGGGTTATTAGAGGGGACTTGGGGAGGATGATGGTCATCGTCGTTGTCGTCGTTCACGTCGTTGACGTTTCTTGATCCTGAAATTGGGGGTCGATCTTTTGTAGCGAGGTACCGGTACGATACCCGTGAGTCGAGTCGAGTCGAGTCGAGTCAGGCTTTGTGACAACCAGTGACGAACGATGACATCATTCACCCATCACTCATTTCGATCACCGACCCGACCGTCTCCCTCATCCGACGGAACATGCAACACACAACTTTGCCTTTGTAGAGGACGGGCAAACTATATTATTACTGGTGACTATAACTGAACATAAATACCACCACATTAATAAACAAAGAGCAACATCACCATGTTTTTCTGGACCCGCCCTTGGACGACGCAAGTGTTGGTGGCCTTGGCATCGAGCGACAAGCCAATGCCGACGATTCCTGAATGGATCTTTGAAGTGTGGATGGATTCCTTCTTGCTGCTGCCGTTGGCCATTGTGGTGGGACAGGTCCACATTCGATTGTCCGCTTCGATCAAACTGCCCAAGGCCGTCCGAGCGAGCCTTCCACCCGCCATTTGGACCCTTTTGCTGCAGTGTCTATTCAGTGACGTTTTCTTTCGTCTCTTGCTCTGGAGTGTCGCCGGACTGGTGGATCTTCAGGAAGATAATAGTATTCTTGTGGCAACCGACGGATGGAAGGATCACTGGGGCTGGAATGGACCTTTTATTCTGTTCACCGTTCGTCTCGTCGTCGCGATACTGGGCGTTGCCGTGGGAGAAACCTTTTTCCCCTTGGTCCTGACGGGTGGCATTGCCTGTGGCAAAAGCACCGTCTCCAAGTTACTGGCGGAAAAGGCCCAGTTTCACATGATTGATGCCGACAAAATTGGACATCAAATCCTATTGCCACCGTGGCACGAACAGCTGAATCAACCCGATGCATTGGTGACCCCCAACGATTCCGTCTATGTGCGAATACTAGAAACCTTTGCCAATGACGCGGACCAGGCAGCGGCGGCTGCTACGGAAAACAATGATAGCAAACTGGGAACCGCCGTGGCCGGAATCCACGACAAACACCCCTTACTCGACGACGACAAGAATATCGATCGGACCAAATTGGGAGCCCGGATCTTTGCCACTCCCGCCGAACGCCAAAAGCTCAATGCCATTACGCATCCCAAAATCTTTTATTGTCTCTTAAAAAACATGGCCAAATCGCTCTATTTTGGCAATGATAAGCCCTTTGTGTGTGCCGAAGTACCGCTCTTGTTTGAAAGTGGAGCCTTGCGGTATATTTTTGGAATGGTCTTGGTGGTGGCATGTACCGAAACGCAACAATTCAACCGCCTCCACAAACGAAA